GGAGATTATTTAAGTTACTATTATTTTGATATTAATCATTGAAAGAAGTCCATATGAAATAGTCCAGTTTATAACAATCCAACATGAAATTCAATATTATTTTAAATAAATATACCAAATGAATTAATGGAGAAAACTGTATTATATTACTATAGTTATTTAAATATTTCAACTTGAGAAAAATCACTTGACCACAATAAAATGCTAAATATATTAAGCAATTAAATTTTATCTATCAAAGATTTACTCTTGTATTTTTAATTAATTTGCTTCAACTTCAATCACATCATAGTTGTCAATTTTTTATCATCCTCAATATGTCGGAAGAAAATTCAACGAGGAAAGACTTTTCTTAGGGTTTACAAACATTATGCGTGTAGATAAAACTTGTGGTGCATATTTTCTTATAGCGAAAAATTGGATTTGCGGTTCGACCTTTGAAAACATGGCACTTAGGCCCATTCAATTGTTCGGATCGAGGCACATAGATTTCAAACCATAAATTAATGAAGTCTGTTATTCATTCTATATTTTATATTTCGTTAATTGTTCTATTACAACATATTTGGTAAAGCAGACCTGATGAGGAAGATAGGATTATAGATTATTGTACTATATCGTCTTGTCAAGTGGTGCATTAGATGTATATAGGTCTAGACGTGGTTTAGTTTGGGTCGGTTTCGACTACAATCCGAAACAAGAATCAAAATAGTCGGTTTGAATGAATTTCAATCCAAACCAACCAATTTTAACTCTTAAACCGAACTGACCCAAATCAAACCGGTTTGGTTTGGACTTTTTGTCCAAGTTAAATTTTTTAGAAAAATTGTCTGGATTTTGGGCCCACTTTAATTACAAGAATTTAAATAACTAAATAACTTTATATTACAAGAATTATTATCTAACGAATAAAATCAAGTTAATAGAGATAGATCAACAAAAAACTTAAGAATTTTGTTGATTTTTTATGCATTATGTAGTTTGAATGTCTGAGTAGGAAAAAAGATTAATTATAATATAATGAACTTATATAAGAAAATTCACATAGCTCTTATTTACTGAAAATATTATAGATTGGAGGGAATCGAGATATAATGATGATATTATGGCTTATCTTTTGATTTTTATTTTTCTTCAAAAAGAAACAAACCATGGCTAAACCGACCAATGATTTTATTTTTAAAAAAAATCAAACAAAACCAATTACTTGTGTTAAATCGATCCAAACTGACCCGAGCCAGTTCGGTTTGATTTGTTTGGTCGATTTATTTTACTTTTATTGTTTTTTATGCCCAGGCCTAGATGTATAAGAGCGATTTAAGTATCTTATAAAAGAATGATTGATCAAGTACACAATTGATATACCAAAAAAAAAAAAAAGCGCCAACAAGTAAATTAGCGATAAGTTGAGTGACTAACAATTTTTTAACTCCTGAAATATTACGCATAAGTCCAATATGATAACGTCTTTAATATGTTGTCATATTGTTGAGATGATGCGTGATAGTCATGGTCCATCCATTGAATTTTGAGGCTAGTTCTTTTAGCCAACTCGGTCAATGTCGGCTAAAATTAAATAAACGTGTCCCACAATGAAGTAGACGCCCATTGAAAATTAAATAACCGTGTCCCACAATGAAGTAGATGACCTGCCTTAAACGTCCAAATTTCCACAAAAAAGTTACTCGGAAAGGCTTGACTACCACATAATTCTTTTTTTGAAGAACAAATTTCCACAGATTGTTCCTTTAGCACGGAATACATGTTTCCATGACTGATTATATTTCATATAATATTGTTTAGGTCATTGAATTCAAAGTTGTAATCTGTGAATTGACTATTCATCTCAATTCACAATTCACTTGTCCATTTTCCTTTACGTGTGATACTGTAGAAATTGACTAATTTTTAGGAAGACCATCCAATTAGCGATAATGCATCAAAGAAACATTATAGACTTGTTCTAAAAAAAAAAAAACTTGACGTCACCCTGTAGTTCTTATTTTATACATTTAGTCAAGTGGTTCAAATCAAAGTCTTTCTCATGAATTGTCATATATTAGTTTGGACATTAATTAGTGTAACAGATGTGTTGATTACCAAATCTCACTTTGAATTACTCTATTCATCATCACTTATGTTAAGCATCAATCTATGTGACAACTGCATGTCATTAAATGACAGGTTCACTTAAATATATTATCACATAATTTATTTAATCGAACATATTAATTGTCACCTAAACTGATGCTAAATAGTATTATTCTTCAAATTTACCTAAGTGGCTTGACTATCACAATAACAAGGATCAAATTAGTTCAGAAGTAGTCAAAATATTTTTTTACAGGTTCGCATAATACAGAAAAGTTCTAAGCCTAACATAAGTGATTAGACATGAATTTCGAGAACAATTTGTTAACAATAAAAAGTTCAGTAGATCAATTGCGAACCTATATCTCTTCTGAGCGAAATTTTCCAAGAAAGACCAAAATGCGTGCAAACTCAGATAACATAAGCGAACATTTAAAACGCAAGGTCTAGTTAACTTCAAGTGGAAATGGCGAAGTAGATATACTTAGAATTGGTTTCATTAATCATTCCATATCAGGAAAAATCGTTATCAAAACACACATGAATGGGAGTGTAAAGCGTGACTTCACAATCAATAAATGTAGAACATGGAGGATGATGACTCAACCAATTAATAATTGACGTGTCACCAAAAAAAAAAAAAAAATTAACTCTTGTTTGATCTTCATTATTTTCAAAATACATTTTTTCTTTCTTCTTTTCAACCACATATTCTTCAATAAAATAATATTTCTTGCAAATTCAAAAATTTTCCTTATTTTTAACTATACATTTTCAACGATTATTTCAGTTTGACGGTTCAATTAAATTGCATTAAGTTTTCTGTATAATGTGGAAAGATGCTCACGTTAGATTGCTTTATGTAAGTATACACCACCGTAATTTCCACAATGGGCTACAGCATGTGGAAGAGCGAGGGTCGGGAAAAATTTGTATTCTTTTCCTCGTCTGTTTTCCCAGTAATAAAAACGAGAATACAACCAGCTCAAGGTAATAAAAAACAAATAAAATACCGCAACAAGACTGACAACCCTTTCAACAGGGAAAATTCGTATTTCCAGTGTATAAAATGCCTGATCATATGCACATGGAACATCACTAATTATATTTCTTTTGAAGGAAAAAGGGGACAGAATTAAATAGATATCACAATAAGTTTTTCTTTGAGATAGGTGGCATGGATACAAAAGGAGCTAAAATCTAACGATACCACTAGGGATACACCTAGGAAATGATCAGGAAAGAATGATTCAACATTCTTACAACCACTTTTCTCTGTCCTTGAATAGTTAGACCAACTGTTTTTAAAATTCGTCTTCAGGCCAAACCTGCAGGAAACAAAATAATATGCACACATTATTTCTTTTACGATAATATACGAGATAGGTTATGAAGAATTACCTGTACTTGAACTAACTTAAGAAAGACCAGTTGAAAAGATTAGATAGGAATCTACACCAACCACAGACGTCACAGTTTAAGAATTTGTAGCAAATTTTACTAAAAAATATAAAATGGCTTGAATAAATTTTTCCAATTGAACAAGTTAAAATATTCAAACCTTAAATTAAATAATGACTTCTGGCTACCGACTACGTTTGTCTAGATAATTACAAACAGGATAAGATGTGTCTTTTAAATTATTAAAGGCATTCCCCTTAATCAAGTCTGAAAACCACCAAAACAAACTACCTTGCTAAACCAAAAAAGCTGTCTCTCCTGATTCAAAAACTGGCTGCTGTGTTTGAAACGTGATCTATATAAGCACTCTCATGTAGATCCTCAATTCATTCTCTTCAACCCATTCCTCTAGGAATGGGAATATGTCAAGTACTAAAGACATTCAAAAGTAGTTCTCGTGCAAGTTTTGATAACATAGAGAAAATTGCTTACCCAGTGTCATCGTCTATTTCTAGGTTTGCAGCGGATTTCAGCTAAGAGTGCTATATGGTCTGATGACCACTCTGGAGAAGGAAGAGCCGTATCTTTTCGCAAACTATCCTCATCCAGGAGCTCCAACAGTGACTCCACAGTTAAGGAGTCCGCTGAAAACACAAATCAAATTTATCTCTTAATACACATAAAATAATCCCAACAATTAAAGATTTTTTTGAGAATTCATGCTTTGAAAAGTGCTTTTTCTTTTTTGTGAATGTGTGGTCAAAATAGGAAAAACTTGTGGGGAAATATGAAAAATGATTATCTTTTTTATTTGGAGAATGAGTGGTTGAAAATGAGCGTGGAAAGAAGAGATTCTCAAAGAATCAAAATCAAACAAGGCTACAGGTAAAAGTAATAATATATTACAACTTCTTGCAAAGAAACTGTAATAAAACGTGACCAGCACAAAACATCATACAGATACCTGAGTAGAATATGTAATCGTGAGTACTAATAAAATCTCTGGTGCAGTTCGTAAAAAGGGGCTCATTTGTTGCAGGATCCATTTTCCTTCTCTGCTCTAGACCAGGACCAACACCAACTCTTGCAAAGGATGAGTACGCACTTACCTTTAGAGTAGAATGTCACAACCAGAAACATTTAAGCAACTACATGACTCGTACTTTAGATAAGTAAGTAGTTGGAAGCATCTAAAAAACTTATTAGGACGATACCAGTGGCAGCTGATGTGTCAGTTTGCTAACAGGCCGAAGAATTTGAAGTGGGTCTACTGCTAAATCTGGATGCATTTGATCAACTTTCCCCATGGCAAGGAGAGCATGAGGAGCACTGCATTTCAGTTCAAATTATTAGCATAGCTAAGGTGGATGCTCTACAAAGAAATTACACGTCTAAGTGATCATATAGTGAAAAGTGAGAGCCGAGAAACCTTCCAGGAACTGAATTGAAATCTCCACACACCAACATTGGGATGTCTGCACTTGCAGCAATCTTTTCCAATCCTTTCAACAGTGTGTGAACCTAATATGCACAACAAAGATGCTAGCATCAATAGAAAGTGAAACTGAGGTCAACAGATTAAAGAGATAATAGAATCAGATAACAGACCTGCCAAAGCTTGACATCTTTCAAATCTTGATGCACATTTACGTGCGTGTTTGCCTGCATCCAGAAAATCAAGAAAGATGCTGATTGCCAACAATAACCATTCGAAGCCGTAGGCATAGTGATGAAACTGATTTGGAGGGGGGGCATATGAAACAAGATTTTAGACACTGATAATCACCTAGAACAAGTAATAAATGAACACTGAGATACATAATCAAAATGTTCAAATCAAACTAGTTTGACACGACTTCTAGATACTCTTATGCTCCTAAAAAATCAAAATGTTCAAATACCAGTCTTGATTCCAGTAGTATCAGTGCAACTAAGAAAGGGCACTGATGCACATCAATGCCCAGAAAAGTACCACGCAAAATCTTATGTGTGTCTAAGTAGCATCAAATCCAATATTCAGCCATATTGTGTTATATGAACTTGTATCCCACTTCAATTAAAACGGTCTGTCTGCCTATCTCCTTCTCGAGGACTTTTTATTTTTACATTTAGGATGAGAGGATTAGGTGAACTCACATGATAGTATTTCTTATTAAGCCCCCAATTTGGTACCACTAAAAAATTCTAATTAAAATCCAAGTCAAAGTTAATAATTAATTTTAACCACAAATTTCACAAGACCCAAAATTTTTCAACCACACATTCCATCAACTGTTATCAAAATCTGGTAAAAAATCTAATTTTGATTTCTACCGAACAAGGGCTAAGTTTTATTCCTCTAAAACATTGCATATTTAATTTACCAACTCGTAAGAGGAATCACAAGATATACAATAGGAAAGTCAATAAAAATTACCACAAAAAAAAAATTCTGTATATAATAAGTTAACAAAAATATCTCAGATAAACACCCCAAAATAAAAAATCTCATAAGAGTTCTCCATGTCCACATGTCGATATAGGATGAAAAGGAGATGCTCACATTCGACTAATGTGATATCTCAGTTCTATCTCTGCATCTCTTCACTTGAGAATATCCCGATCCTTGAATAACCTACTCAGCTGTTGATAAACTTGGGAATTCAAACTCACATTCGACCATTATTAAAATCACATATAGGACGTAGAGCATATCTCTACTATGCGTTTTCACAGGGTAGAACCTCCTCGGGGAATTGTGTGACTGATTTCCCCCTTTTGCAATCAGTTTTGTTATAGCCACTCAGAACGACCTTTCTTATAGAGATAATACACACACACCATTCTTTTAGGGCATGTCCGAAAGAAAATTGAGTACTTCTCACTTTTTGAAGATTTTTTTTCCTTCTCTTTGGGATGGGGATGAGGAGAGCTCTTCTAGTTTCCTTCATAGCTCTCTTGATTAATTGCCCCTTTCAAACTGAAACTTCAGTTTAACCAGAATGATTTTCTAAATGAAGTGACCCCAGAGTTCTTCGCTCTACCTTCCGGAGTTCCCAGCCACGACATGAGCTAATGTAGTGCCAGAAACCCACAGCAGTAGACCTAGCAAAAGGTGACACAAGTGCCTTCTTCATGTTGAAAGGTTAATGTTGACTATAGTCCAGCATTTTTCATTCTTACATTTCCATAAGAGTGGGAGGAGTCAAACGGTTCCCAAGGTTTACCATTTGGAGTGCTATCTCACTGGAATGGTTAACATTTCTAAAAGGTCAGTACCAGAACAAATTAAAGCAGCATAATAGAACAAAAGCTGCTAATAAAAAACAAATATGATAGGCCACCGACTGAATTAAACAAGTGCAGAAAAAGGAAGCTATGGACAAATGTTGGAAGTCACATTAATAACAAATTAATATCATCGCGGTGCACGTTATCTTACCACACAAACAAGCTGCCTCTTTCCCGGATTATCAACACCCTGGTTACTGAACTTCGCTTCTAGCACTAAGATTAGGGCAACATTATCCTATATGAAAAAAGAGAGGGCTCAACAACAAAATTATCAGCAGTTTGGCTAGTCAGCAAAAAAAATGAGCCAAATTATAGTAGAGATTTATGTCAAACCAAAATTAAAAATCATTCATTGCAATACCTTGACCAATCGATTTAGGGCAGTTTTCTTCTGAGCAGTTGGAACCACAGCATCTGTCAGAGATTGTGCAGCTTTGTTAAACTCAACCTACACACAGGCATGCCTTTGATTAAAATGACAGTAAAGGATTAATATGATGATAGATATGGTCCACTTTGTAACCTCATATTTCTTGACATGTGAAAATCTATCTCGGCGGAAGAAAGTAGCACAACCATCAATAGTGTTGATATTTCCACTGAAAACCTGCATACAACAATAGCATCATAAATGATAGAAAGATATGGCCAAGTCAATAAATGCTTTAACCAACCTCTGCTGTTTTCCTTTTAAACAAAGCTTGATATCCATATTTATCCAGCTCAGGTGCGAAAAATTCCTCAAAATGATCACTTTGAACCTGAAATAAAAAAGACAGAATAAAGAAAATGCTATATCAGGTTTTAACGGTGCATCTACCGAATGAACTATTCCGGACATGGCAGACAGAAGCAGAAATATACAAATACTAACAGGCATTCAGAAGTGAAAAGATCTCACTTCTAAAGGCTAACAAACGTGGAGAGATCGTTATTTAAGAAAAGAACTTGAAAAACACGAGAAGATCTATAGAAATATATCTGGAAATGTTATTCAATTATTGTTTAAGCAAAGACTTACCAAAAAATATTTGTTTACCACTCCAAGCTACTTAAACAATAGTGAAAGTGCTATCTTAATATTTGTACGAGAAATATCCAAAGATACCTAGTCCATTAGCAAATATATTCATCACTTCAAAGAGAAATGAACCTCAACAAAATTGGCATTTGACCAAAAGAACATATATCGTGTGTTTAACATTCCAAATCAAATGTATATTTCAACATTTGCAGCCACTTTGACTTTGGTATTGGTACAACTTCATCCAAAATGAGCAATGCTTAACCAAAGATGAGGAAAACAGCTCCGTTTTCAGCCAACAGGTATTGCATTTCATTTTTCACAATTCTTATTTCCTCCAATATATCTACTACCCCACCTAACATACTAACCAAATTTAAATAGTGGGGGCAGAATCCAGCCAGCACTTGTTCTTTGATTGTCCATTCAGCTCGTCTACATAGGGGCAGATCTGAAAGTGGCTAGGTATTAGACGGGCTATGTCTACGTTAACTAGCGCATTGAAGTGGATTAAAAAGGAGGCTCGAGGGACATCTTGGCAAAGCAAAGCCAAGATAATTGCTCTTGCTAACACTATTTACCACATTTGGACGACAAGAAATAGGAAGATTTTTTAAGATCTTAGACCACGCTCCAATAGCGTGAGACGGATCAAAACACATGTATACAAAATTATATTTTCATTGTATCCTCATATTTTGATTCATCTCTGAGTCTTCAGCATTGGGTCTTTATACTTATCGTTTGTACATCTTATGATTGTAAGCCCAGGTATGCTCGGAGTACATGTATGTTAGTTTTGATCAATACAAATTCACATTTACCGATTAAAAAAACGAAACTTAAAATCATTTCCAGTCAATAACATAAGCTTTAGAATGCATGAGCAATTTCTCATGCAGTCATACCTCTTGAAGACAAACAATATCTGCATGGTAGCCAACTATTTCACGTAACAGGTTTTGCCTGCGGTAAGGCCAAGAAAGAGCCCAAGAGGGGCAATAGCTGTATAATTCGTTTGTAGCGTATGCATCGGATAAAATGTTGTATGAGAGCACAGTAAAAGTCCCTGCAGATGAAATGCGGCCATCCATATCTAAATGCCCAGGAACATCAACTCCACTAACTGAAATCAGACGCCGGGGACTGGGAGATGGAGCAGGAATTACGCGGGACGTTAATATGGAATTAGAATGTCCCACAGGTGATTTTGTATCTGCATCTACCACAACACACTCAAACTTAAGGACATGTCCGATATCATCAGTTGTTGGTGTGTATGTCTTGGAACGGCCAACTTCAAACCATGTTTCACCACCATTCCTCTGAGTAACTGTTGGCGGATACAGAGGTGTGTCACCATTTGTCAAGCTGAAGCTTGATTGAGACCCTGATAAGTTCACATTTACAATGCCGGATCCTGTACTACCTGTACTGTTGAAACGACCAAAAACTTCTTCCTCCTCATTTCCATTGTCATTTCCAGCACTAGCAGCACGCTCGTGTAAAACACGATGATGTTGCCATGCATCTGAAAAACATTTAGGAGAACAATGGTAACTCTGAGCAACAGGTATTTTGGCCTTCAAACAACCAAGGCACTGTAATGTAGCTTGTTCGGATGGGTGGAAACTACAGACTGCAACTTTTTTATCACTTTGTATACGGTACCTGAAATAAACAATTTATTTGTTCTCAAATTATTTGGCAGAAATAGTTTAAGGTTATACAGTCTATCAACCAGCTGGACTCCAATGATAAAATAGATGCAAGTCTAACAAATACAAATTCATATATGATAACGCGAAACCATATAAGACTCAAAAATCTTAAACAACATAATAACAAAAAGAAACTCTGGAGGTCTTATATAATTGGATCCAAGTTCCTCTGAATGTGCATGGTACAAGGTCAAGATGTGTTTTTAAAAATCATTCCCCCCATGCCAGAGTAAGAAGTTCACAAGTGGGTACAATTACAATAAATCGTCCATAGTCAATCTTATCTCGATCATGGAGCATTGAATAAAATAACAATAAAAATTAGTACAAGTTTTCTGGGCACTTTCTGTAGACGCTTCAGTAACAGGTCATAAAACTATGATATCAATTTACAAGCCTAGAACTTTAGAGCTAACATGTTATATGATTATTATAATTATTTGTTGTTCAAAATTTAGGTTGAAATTTGAATGAATTAATGATGAAATTGGAAGACAGTGTTGGATGAAATTGGAAGGCAACCAAGTGTAAGAACAGGTCATATGGCCTTGTATACACAAGTTTTCAGCAGAAAACTAAAGCAAATTTGCTTCTATTGTGCGTATGCATGGTTTAACGTTGGGCTGATTTTTCATTTGAATTTCTGGTGCCTTTTGGTGGAAAGTTCTCAACTCTTCACAAGTGTTCGGAGCTTTGTCGTGGTATAATATTAGAAATATATAAATAGGTGATAGATTTCCAATTCCAAATATAAGAAAACAACATAAGATTTCGTCATTCATTTCTACAATTGATTTTTCACATTCTAATACATATTCATGATATCTTTCTTGTTTCCGTCTCCTTCTTCTCCTCTTCGATATTTCCAACAAAACATGTATAAACAAACAAATATTGAACACTAACAAAACAAACAAAAATCCAAATAAGTCACATCTAAGATAAAAACTCATTCTTGGAAAGTAACTATTGAAACCCAACCATTTATATCTCAAGAAATGACCGTCCACGGGATTGGACTCGGTAACATCATCAGTACTAACTGGCTTGTCCGGGCGTCTCAATAGCACATACGGTGTCAGCTCACACCCAACAATAGGAATATCGGACGGAAGGTGCAACCGCAGCACAGTCAGCATTTTACAGAAAGCTCTTGCGAATTCAATGCTCCCCACTCTCCTCCTACCTCAGTTCCAAAACCTAGTCCTAAACCTAAGAAATCAAAAATCGACGATTGGAGCACCAATTGCTGGCGAACACGTGGCGGCTCCGCCATCACCTGATTCCGGCGACAATCGCCAGCCTTGTTCTCTTTCTCTTTATATCAAAACCCAATAAAATTGCGAACTTTAAGAAGAAAATTTATCAGAAAAAGAAAAAAAATTGAAGATCGAGATAGATTGGGAGTATGAAAATGAGGAGAAAATCGAAATGTGAAAAAATGGTAACTTAAAGGGGATTGATTGATCGATGTGTATACATATTATATGGTTGCATGTAGTAGAGAGAGAGTGTGAAGTTTTTAGAAAGAAAGAGTGGAGAGTGGACCGATTGATTGGTGAATTAGGGTTTTACAGAGCCGGGGGAGCGAGCGAGCGAGCGAGAGAGAGAGAGAGAGGATGTGTCTGTTTAAAAATTCATTGCTTCCTTCATATACTTATACACGTTAACGGCACTATTATTTTCATCTATTTTTAGGGTCATATTATATGTATCGAATTTTTTTACATAATCTCTTATCGACAACTCATAACAGAGGATGGGGAGCACATTTTGAAAAATTTTTTAGGGAACAATACATAACTCCTAGTTTTAAATATCACATTTCATAAATAACAAACTAATTAAAATATTTCAAAAATCAGGTGGTAAATAAATTTATTAATAATACAATATAATATACATTAATTATTTTTATCAATGTCACCTCACATTCCCTATCATATCACCCCACTACACCACCTTCCCTCCACCTCTCTACCGGAGATAGCCATCGGCTCCGACGGTCGCTCCTGCTACTGTTCTGGCGATCACTCTGATTCCTATGATCACTCTGAATGTTGCTCCGACGACTTAATAATTTTTAGAAAATTAAAAATTAAAAATCACACCCCCACCCCATGGATCCACCTACCACCACCCTCATTCGTTGACACGTGTCATCCGTGACCAATTTGTGACCAAGTTTGAATTCAATATAACTAACTGTGACCAAATTTGTGTTCAGTGTGACTGTCTGTGACTAGTTCAATCTCAAGTCACAATCGATTATAATCAATACAAAATTGGTCATAGTCAATCACAATCGATCACAATGAACGAATAGTTGGTCACAATCGGTTACAATAAACACATAATTGGTCACAAAGGGCCACCACAAATAAATTTGTACATACTGTAAACCATCATTACAATCCACCACCACCATCACCTCCGATGCATCACCACTGCCTCCTTCAACTCAAATTCATGACAATGAATTCCGAACTGATGTTTAACTAAAACTCTTCTCTGCATCACCACTACCACCTTCAAAGATTTGTTTCTTAGATTATAGCAAGGAGTTCTACTTCAAAGATGACAGTGGAATGGCAATTTCTTGAGAACAATAAGAGAACATAAATAAGCAATCAATCAATTCCATCGACAATTAAAACACAATGTGATTAAATTATTACAATAAACAAATGCATAAAAATCACAAAAAATTCACAAACGGTAGTAGATTAAAAGAATCCAAGGACGGGTACTGAAAAAGAATTTAAAAAATCTCAATTCATCTTTCTTTTGTAGAATGCAATTGGGTATATTAGGCTTCTGCAGCACCTCCGTCAAGAGCTTTCTCCAATCTCACCTCGAATGGAGTTAATGCCAATTCACTCTCTTGTCCCGCACGTTTGGTGACAAACACTTAGGCCGTGTTTGATAGGCCACATTTTTCGAGGAAGTCGAAAAATATTTTCCACTTTCTACTTTTTTGGCTGTTTGATAGGCGAAATTTTCCACGAAAAATATTTTTCGGATTTTCCCTACACGTGTGCAATTTTCGGGTTTTTGATGAAAATGTTTTCCCGCCTTTTTGGTGGGAAAATTTTTCCCGGCTGGTTGGAAATTTTTTTTTTTTTGGTAATGGAAACAAATGTCATAACTAATGGTAAAACAAAAATTTCACTTTAATGGACAATTTTCATGTAAAACAAAGTCAAACAAACATTAAACTTTGATTAAAAAAATGATTTTTTAGGAAACAATTTTTTTCCCTTTTTTTTACTTTTTGGCAATCGAAACAAAATTTATAACCAATTGTGGAAAAAAAATATCAATTTAATGTACAATTTCCTTGTAAAACAAAGCCAAACGAATAGAAAATTTAAAAATTTCTCGGGTGGAAAATTATACCAATCAAACACACTTGAAATCATTTTCCCTGCAAAATATTTTCTAAGCAAATCTTTTCCCTGTAAAACATTTTCTTTCCACCCATTTTCCATCCTTGCAATCAAACGCACCCTTAAAACAAAACATTATCAATGTGATATTAATTGACAAATTCTCACTTCAAGAATACCTCTATGTACTTGCTGATTGTATTCGATATGCCTTCGTAAGGAGAGACTGAGTCAGAATGGTTAGCTGAACCCGAATAATTCCAATAGGTCCCGACTATACCAACGACACCTCGTCCACTCGCATCACAATCATCTAACCATCTCAAGCACTGACGCTCAGCTGACGAGAATATCCGAGACGAGGCCCGTCACCACAATGCCGCTCACAACTTCTCCGCCAAGTACGTGCCCTTTAACGTCGACCCCACATCAATCGAGTCATATTTTCTCCGGCATCTTCACCGATGGTGGGGGTGAGGGGATTTGGGTTGCAGGCGACGATAATGGGGGTAGAGATAGAAGAGGGGGTACAGAGAGAGAGAGAGAGAGAAATGAATTGGGGGTGTCGGGATTGAAAATTTAGGTTGGGTTGGGGTGGATGGTGGGTTAGAATAAATATTTATTAACAATCTTATTAAATCTATATTATCACTTGATTTTTGAATTGTAAACTTTATCTTCCTTGTTTTTGATTTATAATCTTGAAAAGAAGTGTTTTAGGTTTTTCTCTTTTTTTTATTCACGAGTGACCTGCGTGCATGTGAGATGGGGTAAATAATTCGATAGGGAGTATTACGTACAAATAGATTTTTTCTAATTTTTATATATCTATCATGTTGTATATATATATAGATCAGGACTGGGACCAAAGCCAAAGCCAAAGCATAAAGTCGATTTAACAAAAGTAATGTTGGAATATAATGTGGATTAATATATATAAAATTTTAAAATATACTGTATTAATCCACATTATATTCTAACATTACTTTGGTTAAATCGATTTTATGCTTTGGCTTTGGTCCCAGTCCTGATCCTCTCCCCCCACAAAAAAGTCAAAATTGCAAATTCCTTCCCCTAATCACTTCCATCCTCAATAGTAGGGTTGTGATCCCACCTTCAATTATTGCCTCGCGTCCCATTACAATCCATGTCAAACTACTCAACACCACCATTACCTTTTTTACCAATCCCATCACCTACTCCTCAACAATGCCCAACAATAGCCTTACAGAACCAGCATTCACCGTCCTCCCCTTATTCAGCTACACTGAAAACAATTTATACAGTGTCGTTAATTCATTGTTTTTCCCTCTGTTTTGACCATGAACGGGCAAGCCCAAATTGACAATTTATTCTCATCAATCAAAGATAAGTCTAGGAAAGCACAAGTTGTGTTCTGCTTTGACATTTCATTGCTTGTTTTTATTACGTAAATTAAGGATTTTATTGCTTCAACATTCATGATTAAGCTTTTTCATGAAGGGATAAATTGAGAAGCACAGTTAATGCTGTCTTGGATCAACGGTCAGATTACCGGTGAAGCGGTATCAAAGTCATCAAAACCGGTACTATCGTAGACTTCCCAATTAATTTTTGATTGTCAACTCAATTCTTAGTCAATAGTTTTAATTTAGCTACAGACATCATTTTCGAGTAAACAACGATAAACATTAAATAACCAATAAAAGAGAGACCGTAAGCCTTCTTCTCCTACCTTTCTAAGCGTCGAAGTCTCATAATCAAAATTAGTAATCTAAAATGTGGAAAGAACTTGAATTTGGATTATCGTAATGCATATTCAATTATTCACCGAAAAATTCTAATATTTATCAATACATGAATAAATAAGCTGGCTAAATTATAAATATCTTCTTTGTCTCGTTTATCTAAAAGTTCCACGAATCTCACTCTCTCGAAAAAGAATTACAAATTTTAGTTATGACACATGTAAATAAATTCAATTAATTTATTTTGACAGTTCGGATTAAGATAAAAAGAAAAATACATGCACTAATTAGGTGGATGGTTGCTGTAATATGTGCAAATGCAAGTGGTTGCAGTGCAGTTTCCTTCTCCTTTCTTCTTTTGAGAACATATTTGCATGCATTTCTGGGAATCACATTTGGATGCATTTATTTGCTCGCGGCGCCGATGCTCTGGAATCCATATTTCACCAC